AAGGCTAGCTCTTATTTTTTCGTTCCTCGCCAGATCACGTTTCAACAGCCTTTATTTCACTTTTTACCAAAAAAGAAACAGCAAGTGAGGTGCGTGAATAGTAGTACGCACGTGGAGTGTAATTGCGCAGCGGACTTGGTAAAAAGTGTGCACCGGAAGTATTGAGTGTGCAGAACCGGGAGTATTAAGTGTGCATCGGCTACATTGGCCCTGCATCAGCATTTTTAAGAGAGTAAAAACGAAACTAAATTGTGCACAGGCGTTGGGTTGCGGTTCGCAGTAGTATAAGGGTGTACCAGCCGACTTAATTCGCATTCGGAGTAGTAAAACGCGCACTAGGAGTATTAAAGCGGTACACGGTCGGAGCGCATCAAGCAAAGGGCACACTGAGGCCATCAGCAAGATCCTGTGGAGTGGCGTGTAGACCACGGAGGCGTACAAAGTATCAAGCAAACAAGCGAGAGGAGATTTGGTAAGTGATTATGAGAGATTGATTTGGGTAGGGGGTTCGTTAGTCGGTTAGTAGGTCCATAAGTAGGCAAAACCACGTAACCTCCGAAAAATTAAAAAGGCGGGAAAAGCACCGCGTAGCCATCTTTCTTTGTTGAAACACGCGCCAAGCAACCATTTTAAATATGCCAGTAACACGTTCGGGAACAACTACGGATAATAGTGCGAGAGAAGGAGACGGCGATAACTACAACGAACTTGAAGCGACCGTAGTCGAGCGGATTCCAACGAATCAAATCGTGCAACCGTCGGTAGAAACAAGACTAGCGGAAATTTTGCAGCAGGTTCAAAACCTACAAGAGGAGCTGAGACAGACTAGGCAGGCGCAAGCAAACACGGTCGGCGCAGGGGATAGCTATGGAATTATTACAGCTGCCTCCAGTGAAACGGGCCGTTCTCAAACCACATCGCAAGTGGGTGCAACACGGAAACTCTACGATTTGCCGGAATTCGACGGCCGTCCAGAGGACTGGCCAATGTTTAAGGAAACATTCATAATGACTACAACGGAGTACCAGTACAGTGACACGCAGAACATGATGCGCTTACAGAAAGCAATCAAAGGCAAAGCAAGGGAGACGATCGAGTGTTTACTAATACACAGCAGAAACGTGAAGCAAATCATCAAAACTTTAGAAGAACGCTATGGGAAGCCGGAGCTGCTGGTGAAGAGTCAATTAAAGAAGATACGAAGTGTGGCACCAATCTCCGAAAATCATATCGACCAGTTAGTGACGTTCGCGACGAAGGTTCAAAATTTATCCTCCTTTCTTCAGGCTGCTGATTGTGAGTATCATTTGTCAAACCCTACGTTGATGGAAGAGTTGCTGATTAAACTTCCTATGCAAAGGCGTATTGAGTGGGCAAGACATGCCTCTACAATTGTACCGCGACCAACGATCTGCCACTTTAGCGACTGGCTACAGGAATTATCCAAAATCGTGAATTCAGCCTGTGTGTACTCGAGCTCGGAACCGCGTCAACCCAGAACTGAAGGGCGCACAAGATTTTTCCACACAAACGAGGTCAACAGTGAAAGTTCGTGGCGAGATAAATGCGAAGCGTGTGCAGAGAGGCACACACTCAGTAAGTGTAAAAGATTTTTAGACATGGATCAAGGAGAGAGGTGGCGTTTAGTGCGTCGAAGAAGACTCTGCTTTAATTGTTTGAAAGGCAATCACCGTAGCAGCGTTTGTCATGAACAGCACGAGTGTGGTAATGAGCATTGCACAAAACGGTGGCATATCCTCCTTCACGAGCGTAGCGGAAGAGAACGTGTACGCGGGGTATCGCACAGGCAACAATCTTCACGGCAAGCATCGAATCACGTAGCACAGCAGCAGCAACAAGCCGTGCAGCTACAACCCGTTTCACCGGAGGGAATACAACAAGTTTTTACGAACACTATCCCGTCTAACAAAGCATCGAAATTGTTGTTTAAAATTGTACCAGTTATATTGTATGCCAATTCGAGGGAAATCAAAACTTATGCGTTTTTCGACGAAGGGTCTGCTATATCACTAATCAACCGTGCCTTAGCAACTCGCCTTGGGCTTAAGGGGTACAGCGATAGTATAACGTTGCAATGGTTTGGCAGCACAACTGTCACTGAACCTTCTTGTAGGGTAGATGTAGAGATTTCCGGCATTGAGCGAGGTAGCAAGAAGTTTAATATGCGAAACGTGCGTACGGTTTCAAATCTCCAATTGCCAATGCAGTCGATAAGCCTGTCGGACCTTCATTATAAGGATCAACATCTGCCACTACGCGAGTATTCTGGCGCTGTGCCCGAACTCCTAATAGGATTGGACAATGCGTATCTTGGAGTACCACGACGAACGGCTCACGACGGTAGCAGAGGTTATGCGGTGGTGCTGACAAAACTCGGATGGGTAATCTACGGAGCAGGGCGACGTCCATTGAACCAGGCGCGTTATCATACAATGTTTGCGCGAGTGAGTGAAGCGGGCGAAACTTCTCAGCTGGAGGACCTCATCCATGATTACATAATCAACGAAAGCATGGGCGTAGGTGTTGTGAAACAGGTGATTGAAGCCGAAGATATTGTGAGGGCAAAGAAACTGTTGCAGGAGAATACAAAGCGCAACGGAAACCAATTTGAAACGTGTTTATTGTGGAAGGATGATAACATAGAGTTGCCGGCAAGTAGGGAGATGGCAGAAAAGAGATTTTACGCACTAGAGAGAAAATTTAAACGCGACGACGATTTGAAAAAAGCATATGCGACGATTATAGCAGGGTATGTGGCGAAAGGGTACGCCAGTAAACTAAGTGAAGAGGAGGCAGCAGTTAAAGGCAAGCGTACCTGGTATTTGCCTCATTTCGCCGTGTATAACCCGAATAAGCCCGCGAAAATCAGGTTAGTGTTTGACGCAGCAGCGGAGTCAGAAGGGGTGTCGTTGAACTCGGCACTGTTAAGTGGGCCAGATTTATTGCAGCCGCTGGGAACGGTGCTAATGAAATTTAGGCAAAAACAAATCGGGGTTTGCGCCGACATAGTGGAGATGTTCCACCAGGTGAAGATTCGAGATGAAGACTTGTCGTCACAACGATTTTTATGGAGATACGATCCTGAGGCCCGCTTGGATGAATACGTAATGAATGTGATGACCTTCGGAGCCACATGCTCGCCGTGTTCAGCGCAGTTCGTAAAGAACAAAAACGCTGACGATTTTGAGGAGTTCCCTGAAGCAGTGGCAGCCATCAAAAATAACCACTATGTCGACGACTTTGTACATTGTTTCTCTAGCGAAGAAGATGCCCTGAGAATAACGAGCCAGGTAATTCGGATCCATAAAAAAGGTGGTTTTGAACTGAAAAGGTTCGTGTCTAACTCTGAGGTCATTAGCAATTTAAATAAAGAACCCTTTTCCATGCCTATGTTGAACCTTGATAGGGAAAACGCCCAGCTGTTTCAGAAGGTGCTCGGGATGTCCTGGAATACCGAGGAAGATGCCTTAAAGTTTGTGCTGTCCTTTGGGAAGGTGAATCGGGATGTTTTTAACAAGGAAAGGAAACCAACAAAACGCGAGGTGCTCAGCGTAGCAATGTCTGTCTTTGATCCATTTGGAATAGCAGCGGAATACTCCTTAGAAGCGAAACTAATCCTGCAAGCGATGTGGCGAGAGCGTAAAGGCTGGGACGAGAGAGTTTCAGATGCGGTATATGAGAACTGGAGAAGGTGGCTTGAAGCGCTGCGGGAATTGGAGAAGATAACTGTACCTCGCTGCTACGGAGCGACATTTATGCTAATGCCAGTAGAACTGCACGTGTTTTCGGACGCAAGCGAGTCAGCATATGCAGCTGTAGCCTACTGGAGGCTTCAGGATGAATGCAGCAACACTCGAACGTGCTTCATCGCTGGGAAGACCAAATGTGCTCCTATCAAACTCGTATCCGTTCCTCGCCTTGAGCTGCAGTCGGCAGTGCTCGCTGCGCGCCTTAGACAAAATGTTGTCAACAGCCATGATAAGGTCCCGGTCAAGGTAGTGATGTGGTCGGACTCGAAAACCGTTCTAGCCTGGATAAAATCAGATCACCGACGTTATAAGCCTTATGTAGCGCATCGAGTCAACGAAATCCTGGAAAATAGCGAGTTAGACGAATGGAGATGGCTGCCGAGTGCCCTCAATCCTGCGGACTTTGGGACACGCCCTAGAGATCGTAAGCGCGAATCTTTTTGGTTAACAGGACCGAAATTCCTCAAAGAAGAAGAAAAAAACTGGCCACCGAACGTAGTATGCGACGCTACCAATGTGGAACTTCGAAATAAATTTACGTTTCTTTTAATACAAATTGATACAAATTTTTTAAAGAAATTTTCATGTTTTTTGAAACTTAAGAGAGTAGTCAGCTGGACACTGAGATTTGTGAAAAACTGCCGTACCACGGAAGGAATGCGAGCTTATGGGAACTTAAAGGTAAACGAGCTTGAACGAGCTGAAATGTGTATCGTCCGAGCGGTGCAAATGGAAGCCTTCCTGGATGAATATCATTCCCTGCAGGCAGGCGATAAGATAGAGAAGGGCAGCGCGCTTTGGAACCTGAGTCCCATCATGGACGATAACGGCATAATGAGAATTGGCGGTCGAATAGACGCAGCAACCATGGTTCCGACCTGGACGAGACGCCCCGCGATCTTACCTAACAAATGTCATGTAACAGAAATTATAGTTGACTATTTTCATCGAATTTGGAGACATCAGAATGAGTCGACGATAATCGCCGAAATTCGTCGTAAGTATTGGATGCCGCGCATAAGAACGGAAGTACGTCGCGCCGCTGCGAGATGTCAAGTATGCCTCAAGGAGAAAGCCGTTCCTCGACCGCCACAGATGGGACAACTACCAGCAGACCGGCTTACACCATTTGTTAGGCCTTTTACCTACACAGGATTAGATTACATGGGCCCGTTTACGATAACCATCGGTCGGCGTAGCGAAAAGCGCTGGATCGCTTTATTCACTTGCCTTACTACACGGGCGATACACTTGGAATTGGCGAAGGACTTGACTACTGATACTTGCCTGATGTGTTTGAGAAATTTTATGTGTCGACGTGGTATTCCTGTGCGTATTCGGTCGGATAATGGTACGAACTTTGTCGGCGCTGACAGAGAATTGAAGCGACAATTGAAGGAGTTTAATGACGGTAAGATAGCCGATGCACTTGTAAACAAGAATGTAGAGTGGGTATTCAACTGTCCCTCAAATCCCCACGCTGGTGGCTGCTGGGAGCGTCTAGTGCGGAGCGTTAAGCGAGCTATGGGGCACGCACTATATAATGAAAACCTACATGAGCACAGCCTTTACCATCTCATGTGCGAGGCGGAAAACATCGTAAATTCGAGGCCTCTGACTCACATCCCGTTGGACACCGCCACTGACGAACCTCTAACCCCAAACCATTTTCTTATAGGTACACCAAACTCCGAGCAAACACCGCACCCGCAGGAAGAGAAGTTCCAGGCCACACGTAAGCAATGGCGAAAAGTTCAACAAACGCAGTATCGATTTTGGAAGAAGTGGGTTAACGAATACCTGCCTGACCTCGTCCGAAGAACCAAATGGTACCAACCGGTAGAGCCCCTAGCAGTAGGAGACCTCGTACTCGTATGCGACAGTAGCCAGCATCGATCCAGATGGCTCATGGGACGCCTGGTGAAGGTATTCCCGGGAAAAGATGGTCAAGTGAGATCTGCAGAAGTCCAGACGAAGACGGGCACATTTAAGCGGCCGGCCTGCATCTTAGCTAAGCTGGAGTTGGGTAAATCTGGTTAGATTTACGGGGGAGGGGCTGTTAGCGCAGTTACTTCCTTGTTCATTTGAATGTATCAGTCTATTTGTACCTTAATGTTGTTAGAGTAGTCACTTGCTTGTTCAAGCGAGCCAATCCTCTGAATGTACCATAATGTAATGTAACGATTGTTATCGATTTCTAATTTTGTAAAAACGACCACATCACTAATGAAAAACTCATTCGTGATCTGGAGTTTTAAGCGGAGGAAGCACACAAAAGTGTAAGAGTTGTTTTTTATTGAAAAATTATTAATTGTAACCTAACGTATGTGTATTTTTTAGGAAATAAAGCATCACGCCTTGTAAAGCGTTTTTCTCAGCAAGGCTAGCTCTTATTTTTTCGTTCCTCGCCAGATCACGTTTCAACATAGATAATGAACTTTTGAAAAACTTAGCGTGGATTCTCAAAATTATATGTAAAGATCGATGTCTTCAGATTAAAACTAAATCTTACATACCTACATGAAAATTATACAACGCACGCAAGTGAGAATACGAACTTATGATGGCCACTGCAAAATTCGAAGATATTGCTATACCAATTTTTGATGGTGCAAATTTCTCAAGCTGGAAAATACGACTTATGATGCTGTTGGAGTACAAGGAGTGCAAAGAACCGGCTACCAGAACAAGGACAGAAAACGATGAAGAATTAAAGTGGAAAAAGAAAGATCTAAAAGCGAAAACCATATTAATTAGCACAATCTCAGACAAACAACTAGAGTACATTTGCGACTGCGACTCATCTTTGGATATGATCAACAAATTGGACAAGATGTACAATACGCAATCAACGGCATTACAGATTTTACGTAGAAACAATATTGATGAAATTAAATTACAAAATTACGACACTGCTGAAGAATTCTTTTTAGAATTTGAAAAGTCTGTAAATGAATTCAAAGCGGCAGGCGGGAAGATGGAAGAACAAGAAAAAATGAGGTATTTGTTGAAAGCACTACCACCAAGCCATAGCTATATCGGAGATTTTTTGGATGTCATACCAGAAGAGCAGAGAACTGTGGAATACGTAAAATCAAAAATCATAGAAAAAAACTTGAACAGAAACCAAACAGAAAAGAAGAACAACGTAAGTACATTTTCGGCAACAACGAGAGGTGTTTGTTTTACATGCAAAAAGCCTGGACATATCAAGAGAGATTGTTGGTACACACAGGCAAACAAGAACAATCGAGGAGAGAATAGAGATAAAGAAAGAAGTCAAAGAAATTATCAGGCAAGCTACACCAAAGGCGGTGGATACAGCAATCGCGGCCGAGGAAGAGGTTTCCAGTCATCAACATCAAGAGGCGAGAATTTACGAAATCAAAGTACCAACAATTCAAGTTCTGCAAATGTGTGGGTTACCCAAGTGTACAATTCAGAGGTAAAAAGAGACAGGGAAAATTCGGAAAACCCGAACGAAATAAACTGGTTAGTAGATAGTGGTTGTTCTGATCATATAATAATGAATTGCAAATTTTTTGATAAATATGTGAATTTAAAAGAACATGTTAATGTTAAACTACCCGACGGAAAAATTTTAAAGGCTACAAAAATTGGCAATGTAAAAACAACTTTTAAAACTTATAACGAAGAAAATGAAATTGATATAAAAAATGTTTACTATGTTAAAGACATTAATCAAAATTTGCTAAGTTTATCCAAAATAACACAAGCGAATTGTACTTTTGTCGCAAAGAATAATAACGCAAAATTTTATGATGAAAATGGAAAGCTACTAGCTGTTGCATATAAAGAAAACAACTTGTATAAAATTAATAGTTACTTTACAGAAAGGGAGAAGGGGATATACGTAAATTCAACCAAACTAACAGAAAAAGAGAAATGGCATAGAGCGTTAGGGCACGTAAACTTCCAATATTTGAATAAAATAGTAAATAACAAATTATTGGACGGACTACCGGAAGAATTCGAAAATGTGGAAATGAAATGTGCTAATTGTATTGAAAGTAAAATGTCAAATGAACCTTTTAAGAATAATAAGTCAAAAGCAACAGAAACATTGGAATTGATACATACTGATTTAAATGGTCCACACAGCACAACTGGTTATTGTGGTGAAAAATACTTTTTAACGTTTATAGACGATTATAGCAAATGCGCAAGAATATATTGCATTAGAAGCAAAGCTGAAACTGCAGGTTGTTTGATTGACTATGTTAACTTAGTTGAAAATCAGTTTAATAAGCGAGTAAAGAAACTGCAATGTGACAACGGAAAAGAATATATGAATAAAGAAGTATTCGAATTTATTAAGTATAAAGGTATACAATTATTGCCATGTCCACCCTATGTACATGAACTAAACGGTGTAGCTGAAAGGTACAATAGGTCTGCTATGGATATAGGTAGGTGTTTGATGAAAGAAGCAAGAATAAATAGAAAGTATTGGCCTGAAGTAATGAATACGGTAGCATATTTGAAAAACAGAACTATAGCAAACACAGTAGAGAACAAAAGCCCTTACGAAATATTTTTTAAAAAGAAACCCAATGTTGAAAATTTAAAAATTTACGGAAGTAGAGTATTTGTAAGAGTTCCTGAAGTGAAAAGAAAATCTAAATGGGACAATAAAGCAGAAATTGATGTTTTAGTAGGATATACAAATAATGGTTACAGAGTTTTGGTAAACAATAAAGTAATTAATGCTAGGCATGTAAAAATTGTTGAAGAATATGATCGTCTCATCTGTTTAGATAAATTAGATACAGAAAAAGATGACAGCTACGAAAGTGAACCAGAAAGTGCATGGGACGAAAATAAAAATGATAACAAAAAATATGGCCAGACTAATGCTAGAGAAAATGATGACAATAATGAAGATGATTATGATAACATGAATGTTACTATAAACGAAAATGAAATTAAAGATGAATTAAATGAAAATTCGGATGACAGAAATCAAGAACCAAATACAGCTGAAAGAAAATCGAATAGAAAGAGAACACTGGTAGACCGGTTTGGAAGCCCAATAACACACTGTATATATGTGAATTACGTAAATGCAAACATACCAAACACATTCGAAGAAGCGATTAACTCTAGCGAATATAGGGAATGGCAAAATGCAATGAACTCAGAGATGAATAGTTTAAAGAAAAACAACACATGGGAACTTACGGAAAAACGAAAAGAAAAACGAATTATTGATGTTAAATGGATTTATAAAAAGAAGGGTAATAATATTTTTAAAGCAAGATTAGTTGTGAGGGGATATCAACAAAAAGAACATATTGAAAATGTGTATTCACCCGTAGGTAAAATGCAAACTCTGAAAACGTTGTTGTCGTTCTGCTGTCGAAATAATTTATATGTGGAGCAAATGGACGTAGAAACGGCCTTTTTAAATAGCTATGTAAAATCAGAAGTTTATGTAAATGAACCTAAGGGCTATGAAACGGGCGAAAACAAAGTTTACAGATTAAGAAAAGCTCTTTATGGTTTAAGGGAGAGTCCAAGAGCATGGTACGAATGCTTTCAAAAGTTTATTGAGAAATTGAAATTTGTGCGAAGCAATTATGATTATTGCCTGTATGTAAATAGATCAAGAGACAATCCTGTATACATATTAGTTTTTGTAGACGATCTGTTAATTTGCTGTAAAGATAAAAGAGAAATAGAAGAAGTAAAGTCAAGTTTAATGGCAAGATTTTCTATGAAAGACCTAGGTAAGATTCAGAGCTATATTGGCATTGAAATAAATTATAGTGAAGATAAAAAAATTATGACTCTAAGCCAAACAAATTACATTGATTCCTTAGCTGCAAAGTATAACTTAAAAAACGCAAAACTATACGATACACCTATGGAAACAGGTCTTAAACTTACTCAAGCTAGCGAAATAGATGAAAATATAAAGTACCGAAATCTCATAGGAGAATTACTATATATAAGCACTGGCACAAGACCAGATATAGCGTACGCTACAAATTATTTGAGTCGCTACCAAAGTTGTTACACGCTACTCACTTCAAATACGCTATGAGGGTCTTAAAATATCTATACTTAACTAAAAACTTAAAGTTAACATTTTATGACAATTTAGAATGTGAGGTATTAGATTGTATGGTAGATTCGGACTTTGCAGGAGACAATGTGGATAGGAAATCCACAACAGGTTTTGCAATAAGATTATATGGAAATTTAATATATTGGAAAACGCATAAACAAAACACTGTAACAAAATGTTCAACCTTTGCAGAGTACACTGCAATGTCCGAAGCAGTAACTGAAATATTATTTATAAGAAATTTATTAATTGAATCATTCAATGTAAAATTTGATAAAGCGGTAAGGATGTATGAAGATAATTCTGGCGCAATTGCAATTGCAAAATTTGGAAATTTTACAAAAAATTCAAAGCACATTGAAGTGCAATACCATTACATTAATGAAAACTATGAGAGAGGTATAATAGATATTGTTAAAATAAATTCCGAACTAAACTTAGCTGATATGTTAACCAAGAGCTTAGATAAAAAAAGTTTTTGAGAAACAGGGAAGCTTTGAGATTAATTTGAATCCACCATCATTTCAATATAATATACGAATACATTACTTAATGAAATAATTTTATAAGGTTGTCAATTTAAAGAGGTGTGTTGGAAATATAAGTAAATATGACAACCCTGAACATATATTGTATTCCTATACTCAATTCTTGTATACATGTTCGTTAACGCATACTAGCATAGTACTAAGTCTGTGAATAAGTTAAGTTCTAAGTATTAATATTGAGAGCAGGTTTTCAGTTTAAGAAACTCACTCATGTAACTCGGACTTACTGTGAACCTTATTCAATAAAATAATTAAAGAAAATGAATAAATCCAACAAAAATTTAGCAGTCTAATGCTCAATTCGCAATTTTTCATGAAAATACTTTCTTAAATATGTCTTATTATTTATTGCTAAAATGAAATGAGAATAGTTATCAAATCAATAAAAAAAATTGTAAATAAAAAGAAAAGCATTCGCCCCGTTACACTTATTTATTGGGTAATTCTGCAACGAAGTCAGCTATGATTTATTTTTTTTTCATATGGAATCAGTATACTATCGATAGTATCGGATAATTTTAAAATGCATTGACGAAGCTATTTATATAAACGAACGAGAACAAAATGACACTGAAGATGGCACAACGCCGAAACCGGTTTGTCTCCAAACCAAATTTGACAAGGGATGACGGAAAATCGTTCCACATTACATCACACTCCTACCCTGTCGGAAACACCAACAACGAAAATGAGAAAAGTTTTGCGTTTTACTTAGTTCCTGAAGAATTAGCTAATTGTTAAATAGCGATTTTCAGTAACCTTGTCCTTTTCTTTGATTTTTTAAATATT